GCCAGCCAGCAGAGGGACTCGACGTTGTATTAATGACTCGGGGTCTTCCTAGCATCTGTGTGGCACTTGAGAGCCATTGGTTCATAGCGTGGGGCTTGCGCGTGTCGGGGCAGGCTCTGCACGGGCACCTGTGTGCCGCCAGCAGGACGAAACAGCGTCAGGGCTCCTCCCCTGCTCTCATTTTTGTACGGGCTGATCGGAACAGCAGCCAGCCCAGCCCCTCCAAGCAATCAGTCGGGCACGTGACAGTCAAAAAGTGGAAGACACATTGCGTCACAGGCGCCTAAAGCCGCGCCCCCCAATAGCGCCTCTCCTCACGTGGCAGCGGATGTGGGCGGGGTCATTGCTTAAGGAGAGGGCAGGTAGGGACGCAAGGTTGTTAGCCCCACCCCTCTCATCCTGATTGGCTAGGTCGCTGCCGCGAAGTCGGGCAACTTTCCCACGCGGTTTGGTCGTTAGCGCCGCAAGGCTGGAGCCAACTGTCGCCGCTCGCGCCCCGGGCTGCGGCCGTGGAGAGCTGAGCGCGCCTGGGCATGGCGGCGTCGCGCGGGCTCTGGCCGCTGCTGTCGGAGCCGGCGGAGCGGCAGGTGCTGCAGAACCTGTCCTATGGGCTGATGGGCGCGAGCGGGGTCTGCGCGCTGGCGCTGTGCTTCGTGCCGACGCCCTACGGGCGCTACTCCTCGCGCAGCTTCGGCTGCCCCCTGCCTGTCCGCCTGGCTTGGATGCTCCAGGAGCTGCCCTCGCTGCTGGTCCCGCTGGGGCTGAGCCTCTTCAGCGGCGCGGCCCGCGTCTCCGAGTGGCCCAACCGGGTGCTGCTGGCGCTCTTCATCGGGCACTACGCGCACAGGTACCGGCGCGGCTTGTCCTCTGGGCCGGCCGGGCTCCGCAACCCCGGGGGGCTGCTGGGCTCGGGAGCGTCCGCGGGGTAGCGGGGCTCAGTCCCTCCTGAGCGTGACAAGCGCAGCCCCGACCTCGCCCTTTGGCGTGTCGCGGGCCGGTGTATAGGCAAAAAGTGAAACCGCTTCGTTATTGTGACGGTCACAGTTTCTGTCAAACAAACATGACATTCGGTATAACTGCTCAGGAATTGCTACTTTTGCTGGATGGTTGCAAATTCAGAGGAACTGTGTTTTTTGGTAGAAAAATCTCTCAATTTGCTACCTCCTGTCTAACGGACTCAGGGGATGCTGGTGTTTTGCCTTGGCCGGGGGCCTTTTGCTCCTGGTCCATGGGTCACAAATTCAGAGGAACTGTGTTTTTGGTAGAAAAATCCCTCAATTTGCTACCTCCTGTCTAACGGACTCAGGGGGTGCGGGGGGAACTGTGTTTTTTGGTAGAGGAATTGCTACTTTTGCTGGATGGTTGCAAATTCAGAGGAACTGTGTTTTTGGTTGAAAAATCTCTCAATTTGCTACCTCCTGTCTAACGGACTCAGGGGATGTGGGTGTTTTGCCTTGGCCGGGGGCCTTTTGCTCCTGATCCATGGGTCACAAATTCAGAGGAACTGGGGTTTTTGGTCCTCAAAACATTTCCCTCAAACATTTCCCTGAGAATTGTTCAAAACAGGAAATAGTTAGTGAATTTGAAAATAGGAAAATCAATCCATATAACAGTCAGTTCAATTAGAAAATATGAGAT